TCATAAACACGAGGCAACCTTGATAGATAAACTATAGATGCTCTTTCGATAAATGAAGAAACTTTCAAGTGCCTTGTGATTAAATAAGAAGGAAACGAGAACGATGTATAAGAGTCAACATCATGCGTTATATATTATGGAACGCTAAAATCAAATCGAGGCTTGAATGTTTATTTTAGAAATACCGTAGAGAAATGTTTTTAATGAGGCGAAAAACGTTTTAATGAGGTGAAAATAATCCGTAATAACGCTTTCCAAGCTTTCCAATATGCTCATGGCATTATTCTCATGGCTAGCAATTGTTTATAAGGTAAATTGTTTCAAATCTGATCGATTCGAAGAAAATCTTATAAAGTTATTTAAAGTTATTTTCCCATTATCCCATAAGAAATAGTATAAAAATAGGATAAGCAAGGAATATGGAATTATACGCTTTGTAACTTGATTAGTTAGTTTCAGGAAAGACCATTAAAATTTATTAACGCGATTATTCAATTTTAATAACGATCTTAATTATGTTACATAATACATCATTAAGGACATCACGTTGAAAATATCTCCAGGTTTATTGAATTTGAAGAAAATCTTTCTTTTCGATGGCAAACGAATGAATAAAGTCTCGAAGGATATGCATTTATTCATATTGACGGAATCATGATATGTAGTGTGATGTAAATTTTTTTTATAGTAAATTTTAATGTGCATTCCTTTTCTTTCTTGTCTTACATATAGCATCGAGCATTAAATTCGACAAAAATGTATCTGTCAAAAACATGTGTTTTGAACGATGGAAAAAAAAGAGGTGATGATGTTGCGCTTAACGAAAAAACATTAAAACGACTTCCGGACCGCGATAAATCATGATAAAAGTGGCCGCGCGCGTAATTACGCGGCGTATCTTCGAGTTAATTTGTAGATTAAATATGCGACATGGTTTTTACCATTTTCAGCGAAAAGAAATAATAATCTCGCGCGCAAGCGACGACATAAATCACGACGCGAGGGCTTAGAGAACGCGCGATTAACAAAATAATTTTCGCCTCGTACGGACGGATTGCGACGCGATGTCGTGAACACCGCCGGAAGTAGAAAGTTACGCGCGAAGTGTCAACGTGTTCTTTCCGCCGCTCTTGACGATCGAATCGCACATAAAAAATGCACCAAGTGATAAACTTAATACAAGGCCAATGTGAATTCATCGGACGTTTATTTTTGTTTGACGTTAACTATAATTATCTTTTCAAAAGAAGTCGTCCGTAGGCATTTTCCGCTCGTAAAAATTCATGTTTTTTCTTTTTTTTCTTTTTTTCTTTTTTCTTTTTTTTTTTTTTTTTTTTTCTTTCCTAGTAAAACGATTAAATGGCGCTTACTTAGAGCGAAATGAGCGTAATCATTATCTTGTCTTAATCTCACGTAATGACATGCTCGGAGGAGGAAGGAAAAAAGCTGCTCCGCAGGTTAATATCGCGACCGTATTAACAGAGAGTTATAGAGATTTAATACTCTGTCATCGCGTGGCCGGAGCGGCGATACGAACGCGGTGGAACACAACAGAAAACCGCTAATCGCTCGATTAACCGATCAAAAACGGTGGTGGGTCGCGCTCGACGAATGTGAAGCGAGAAGAGAGTCAAATGTCTCGCGATACATCTGAGACTAGGCGAAGTGCGCACTCGAGAGAGTTTTATTATCGAGGATCACTCTCGGAGAGAATGAAAAACTCTCAATTGGGCATTCATTAAGTGCCGCTCTCAATGTACGCCGGAAATTTTACCGTCGACAATTGCTCGCAAGGGAATAAAATTCTCGAGGGTCACTCCGTCGACGACGACGACGACAACGTATGCATCGATGAGCATTACCGTCGAGGATCATTCGTCACCGCGGGACGACCGGTTTTTAAACAACCGAGGAAGACGAATAAAGGCACCTCGGCAGTTTTTATCTCTATGCCGATTAATTTTACGCGGTCTATCTTGATTTTCCGGGAAATGGTTCTCTTGAACATTATCTTTTTCGATTATCCGAGGGATCGTTATGTGATTTCGCAATGGTAGTCTCGCAGAAGATGCTATTTTTCCACTTTGATAAATAGAAAAGAAGCGAAGTACGCACTAAAGCGCCTGCGATACCTGCAAGGCCGCAATTCGTTATGATGCAAATTTATGTCAATAGCGGAAAAATAAGCGTTCACCTCGCCAACGATTTACGATAGCTCTTATCGACGAGCTCTCACGAGCGACTTATCTGTTCTCGGAACGTCCAGAGCATATTCGCGTAATCTCCGATTCGAATCAACTTTGAAATGCTCTCTAGCCTCGCTATCCCATTCAAGATAACTCTTGTTAACTCTCTTCAATCGTACTTCCGATCATGCTCACCGTAAACTTGTTGGCACTTTATTCTTTCATTACAAAACGTGTCTTTTCAGTTAATATTAATATTCGAGAACGTTGCATAGAACAATTTATATATAAATTCGCTCGTGCAGAGATCAATATAATTTCCATTTTGGACTCCATTTTGGATTTCCACACTTGCGACGAATCCCACAAACTATAACACTCGACCTACATTCTTTCCTCTCGACATCTAATTTGTAAAGTCCTAGTTTGTAAAGTCAAGAGAAATTTTGCAGGAACGTTTAGCCAGGAAAATGGTAATGCTCTATTATATTTTAAGTATTAAAAGAAGCTCTCTCTCCGTCTCTCTCTCTCTC